AATCCAAGTTACACTCTTCCCTCAAGGACACATTTTACAAAGTAGCTACATATTGTGCAGGTATAAAGCATACATTTGTATATATTTTTGTATACATTTATTTTTTTAAGCTATTTGACAAACTTTTATTTTTTATTATTCAATATTTTACTAACAGAATAGTCAGATAGCAACCTGTTTTTTGTGTGAATTGCTATGTCAGTCAAATGTTCAATTTTGGAATAAAGGGGTGGAAATTAAAACTTTTTTTTTTTGCCGATTCATCGATTAATCGAAAAATAATCGGCCGATGAATCCATAGGTGTCGCAACCATTATAAGTGAAGGGGACAAGTCCCCCCCACATTAAAAAAACGTTAATTTGGACCCCCCCCCCCCACACACACACACACACACACACACACACTTTTACTATAAAACATTAGTTCAGGTGGCGCAGTTTCTCTTTCTTCGTGAACAAATCCATTCCACTTGATTAATAGGAGAATACTCAAGCTACTAAAACTCAACTCAAGGTTTTCCTGGTGACCTCCAACTCTCCACCGTCTCCACCTGCCTCTTGCCTCGGCAGAAAACGTACACAGGTGGAGGAGGTGGAGGTACCTGTGTTACTCGCTCGCCAGTTTAGCAGCTTAGTGCAGGCAGTGGTTGACCAGGGGGTTGATCATAAACATATATTCATGTTAGAAGGATGCTTGAGAGGAGCACTACATCTGTATCATCTTAGCTTAGCAGTAACTGTGACGCTGTAAGACGCTGCAGGTGTAAGAGACGCTGTGTGTTGAGCTGCATTAAAGTTGAAATGTCTTTAAAACCCCACACCTTATTGTCCTCAAGTTTCATGAGAAACATAACTTAGATGAGTAGTGTTAAACACAAGTAAAGAAAGTCCAGTGGCGATGTTTTTTATTTCTCTATAAAGACAAATAGTGCCGATCTGACGCTCTGTATTAAAGTGTATTAAAGTTAAAATGTCTTTAAAATCCACAGATGAATTTACACAAACTTGGTGAAAAACATGCTTTAAATGTGTGGAATTAAAGGAAATCTAGGTGAAATGCTGCTTTTTTGTTCACTAATAAACACCTTTTTTTACGTGCACACACACATGCACCCGCGCACACACCTACACACATCATTGTTCCCCCCTCCACATTACAAATGCTTCTGATGCCCTTGGATGAATCGATTGAAATAATCGTTGGTTGCAGCCCTACATTTGTTTATGCATAATCTTCATCAGATATAGCACAGATTATTATTTTTGTAATAAAATACATAAAATCAACTAAATTTGTGATTATTTTGGCATATCTGTGTGTATTAACTGATTTGATGCCCTTTAAACACGAGAAAAGAATTCACATTTCAGTTTACATTTAATTTGGGGTTAACCTCGTTGTGTGCCCACACACAACGAGGTTATTTGCATAATAAATGCATATCTTATGAGCTTAACTCATAACTGATAATTTACAATATATATCCAGCCCCATATCCCTCTACACAGCAAAGCGCCGCTCTGGCCTTACGGCGACCGCAGGAGCTCCAGTTAGTCCACCCAGTAGCCATCGAGAATGCGCTTTTCCCGAATCTTCAACATTGCCTTCCGTCTATGTAAGTACTTGTCCAGCTGCAGGTCTTAGAAGTATAGGCAAAATCCGCCCTTCCAAACAAGAGTTATTGTGACTTGCTCTTTTGTGGCGAATGTTTGACGAGCACTTCCTTTATGATTTTCAACATGCCATGTGTGGTAACCAACAGTTAGTGAACAAAGTTTCAGTGTAATAACTTACACAGTGCGACGCTGGAAGAGTCATCCAATAATCAACAGTTTTTTATCTGAGTGGGTGGGGCTTTTGTGATGTCATGAGTCAACAATACCAATGTGTCTAAAAGTGCTCACTGATGAAGCACAAAAAATCAGATCCAGATTCAATTCAATTCAAATTCAATTCAAAAATACTTTATTAATCCCAGAGGGAAATTATTTGTTGTTGTAACTCGTTATCCTCATTTCATTAAGAGATGTTATAGATGTTGATGGCTGTAGGCAGGAAGAATCTCTTGTAAAGGTCCATCCCACAGTGGATCCTAAGAAACTGGGTGCAGATGGCGGCCGATCCGTCCACCCAGACTCTGCTGGCCTCTCGGTTCCCCTCGGGCTGTAGGACCGCCCAAACGCTGGGCAGAACTCCTCCCAGAGCGATGGCCGCTGCTCCCAGCAGTCTGCCGAGCTCCTCATAGCTGCGGACAGCCAGCTGTAGGTGCTGAAATACGATTCTGTCCTTCTGCTGTCATGAGCCGTGTTTCCTGCTAGTTCCAGGATCTCAGTGGTCAGGCACTCGAGCACAGCCGGCAGGTATATGAGAATCCATCCACAGAACATCCTTTTCAACTCACTTGAGATTTGGGGCTGTAGTTGAGATATTATTTGAGTTTTTGAGATGTTAATCAGCTGCTGTTGGTTGTAGAAAACTGTCTTGTTGCCATGGTTACGCATCATAACAAATGTCCAAAACTAAAAAAGTTTCAGTAAAAATCCTTCCAGCTGCACAGCATCCAATACCAGAGGAAACAATCATCCAAAAAATTGTGATTTACATCCAGAAAAAGAGGAATTAAAGTTTCCAAAAGCAAATTCTCAAAATGAAAGTAACAGAGCTGCTCCAACATGCAGCCACCTTGAGCGGCGCAATTCAGATGATGTATCACTAAGATATAACTTTTGGAATAATGTAGGGGGTGCACTTAAGTCAAATGTTAAACAACAACCACAATGTGTGTAGAAGTGCTCACTGATGATGCAAAATAAATCTGGTGCAGATCGTTTGATGTATCACTGAGAAATAACTGTAGGAATAATGTAGGGGGCGCTGTGGAGGCTATTGGCCACTTATCATGGATTCCTGTTCAAGGGATGGATAATGATCGATCATACTGATTTTGGTTCACCTCGGCTCAAATCTGTGCAATTTAGAGCCAAACGTATTGCAACGGCATCACTTCTTAATTCGTCACACTGCCACACCCACATCCTCCAGCTAAAACTGTTTGTAATTTAAATCAAGTCAGACCCACTTGTTAAATGTCTTCTAACACAGGATCATCCTGATTAGGTCAAGGGCATCAGAGAGGGAGCATTCAAAGTAAAAAAAAAAGTGACTTCCTGTTCTGAGGGGGTTGAACTTTGATGATGTCAGAATATGACAACAGAGGATCTTCGGGCATCCAACAGGGATGAGTCATGCCAAGTTTGGTGCATTTCGGTCTTTCAATGTGAAAGTTATAGCGTTTGGAAATTAAAGGCATGAAGCACAACTTTGAGGCCTGGCCACGCCCCTTTAACATCTACGAAAATGCAAGCTTTTGATAACTTTTACTCCCTAATGTTTTAAGAGCATATTAACCAAGTTTGAAGGCAATCCTTCAAAATCCTTGAAGGAGTTAGTTAAAATTTGCAATTAGAAAAAAAAAATGACCCTTTGACCCAAAATGGCCGACTTCCTGTTGAATTTGGACCAGGGCTCCAAGAGATTTTTTCATAGGTCCTGAGAAGATACAGATGTTCACAGAGTTTCAGAATTATCAGTCATAAATTGGCTTGGGGCTGAGGTTTTAAAAATATTGTAGGGGGCGCTGTGGAGGCTATTGGCCACTTATCATGGATTCCTGTTCAAGGGGTGGATAATGATCGATCATACTGATTTTGGTGCACCTCGGCTCAAATCAGTGTAATTTAGAGCCAAACATATGGCGACTGTGTTACGTCATACTTTGCCACACAGAGCCGCCCACATGCTCCACCCAAAACTGTCAGTGTTGGAAAGCAAGTTACACCAACATGTCTTCGGTCACTGGACACACTATCATGCTGATCAGGTAACAGGGGTAAGATAGGAATCGTTCAACATAAAACTTTATACATCCTGTTGTCAGGGGGCGTGGCTTAAGTGATGTCATGATTTGACCAATCAGTCTTGCAGGGGACCGGATGTGGATCAATCACTGAAGGTTTGGGGCGGCTGTGGCTGAGTGGTTAGAGCAGTCGTCCTTCAATGCAAGAGTTCGGGGTTCAAATCCACCAGCAGTCACATCCCGAAGTGTCCTTGGGCAAGACACTGAACCCCTCACTGCCTCTGATGTGTGTCCCATTGGAGTATGAATGTGATCTAAAGCACTGATTAGTCTGTTTAGAATGATTTGTTCAATTAGCTTTGTAGAGATCTAGTAGAGTGCTGTATGAATGGGTAAATGAGGACACAGATTGTAGTGTAAATAGCTTTGAGTATCTTGATCAGATAGAAAGGCACTATATAAGTACAGTCCATTTACCATTTGATGTCTCAGACATTTTTCGTATAGGAGCTATTAAAACTAGGCTTAAGACTTTCCTTTTTGCTAAATCCTATAGTTAGGGTCGGCTTGGGTTTCCTGAGCTGTCCCTTAGTTATGCTGATATAGGCTTAGACTGCTGGAAGACAAATTGACCACAATTTTCACTCTGCTACTGTTTTGTATTTGTAATTATTTTTTCTATCCTTAACATGTGTTTTTTTGTCTTTAACCACAGACCACCGGGCTACCACAGCCCTCTGTGTGGAGCAGAGAGCTGCTATCTAGGGCACCTGAGGGAGCAGATGGTGGGGACCTTACTCAAGAGACCAGTGTGGGGCAAATGAGGGTGGAGGCAGGTGTAGGTGTTTCACCTTTTCCACCTATATTTTGATGTTGTCAGTACAGGGAGTTGAACCGGCACCAGTCCGACCACAGGTCCACCTTCTCTAACCTCTGCACCATCACTCCCACTACATGCTATTATTAAATACAATCCTAATATTAGTTATTTCAAAATGATACAATCACTGCTCCTTAAATATCAGATCAATGTGAACATATAAAAACATTTTCACCTTTATCATTAGACATGACATCGGACCAGTACTATACTGACTTTAGTTGTAGTTCATCTCATTAACCGTTGTTTCTCTTTAATCTTACCCCATTAAGAAAGACTCCAGCAGTGCTGCAGGTGACGTAGAGTGTCTCACAGTCACATGGCTCAATAACAAGATAACAAATCTCACCAAGCGCCTGTCTCCAAAGAGGAGCTCGACAGCCATTTGGAAACTCAAAATCTGAAGAAGATAAAAGAAAGAAAACATGGGCACAGAGTAGAATGTCACAACGCTGAGTGTAAATGTTTCTAAAGAAGTGCAATGCCAGAAAAAGACTATCATATATTTGGTTTTCTTATGAGAATACAGTAGTCCCTCGTTTATTGCGGGTGTAGGGACCAGGTTCACCTGTGATAAGTGAAAAACAGCGAAGTAGGTATACAGTAGTCCGAATTCAAGTTCAGTTCAAGTTCAGTAGACTTTGTCATGACATATGCCAGGCTGCAATCACACTCATCACCTGTAACTCTCAACCTCACTCCTTAAAAAACAATTTAAATTTAAATATTGTAACATTTTAAATAAACAATCAATGCAGCATGGATTGTTTATTTAAAATGATACAGTATTTAAATTTAAATTGTAGAGAAGTGTAGCAGGACATCAAAAGGTTAACCCTTCACACAGCTCTGCAGCACGGAGCAGAAATGTACTTCTTGATCAACACTGCAACAACTGAACATAGAAGTTCTAAAATAATTAAAAATAATTTTGTAACACTTATATTTCGTGATTATTATGATTTTACGATGTGACATACTTTGAATTTTAAGTTGGAAGACAAAAGTCTATCGGTACATCTGGAAAGTAAGCTGCTGCAGGAGAAATGTGTGCGTGTGTGACAGAGCAGGAGATCAGCTGATCAGCTGCAGGAGGGTGCTTCCCCTGCACTTGTGGGCTGCACACATGGTGAAAAATCCATCCATTCTTCCATTTTGGGTCACGGGGGGGGTCGCTGGTCCCCATGTCCAGCAATCACTGTGCAAGGGGCAGGGGACACCCTGGACAGGTCTCCAGTCCATCACAGGGACACATGGAGACAAATAAGACAAACAACTCTCTCTCTCTCTCTAACCTAGCAACAATTTAGAGTTACCAATCAGTCTAACATGCGTGTTTTTGGTCTGTGGGAGGAAACTGGACTATCTAGAAAAAACCCACACATGCACAGAGAGAACATGCAAACTCCACCCAGAAAAGCCCATGGACCAGGATTTGAACCGGGGACCTGCCCGCTGAGTGGCAGCAGCTCTACCAGTGCTGCCCTTGTGTAAAATCATTTAAAATTATTTTTGTTAAATACACAACCCATGCCTCATCCATAAATCAACTAATTGTGTCATGTCCAATCTCTTACTTTGAAAAACCACAATAAACGAACCGCAAAGTAGCGAGGGACTACTGTATAATAAAACTTTAAGAACATTTGAATCATGAGTTCAGGGTTGAAACACAGTTTACTTTAAATTTAGATTATACATGAAGAAAGTGGGCCACACAACCACTTCATCATGTTTTAAACTAAATATGGAGTTTTTTCTGTTTAAAGGTGTCTAATGCAAGTTTAAAATAGGAGGATGAAGAAGGCCTGCACATCTGTTAGATCTAAACAAACACCCTGCAGGGAAGCAAATAATATCTGCAGACTACTGACTCTGTAGAGTGTGACACATGTCAGTGGTGGATTCACCGTCGGGCACGACGGGACACTTCCCGGTGGCCTGGTTGCCGAGGAACGGGACTAAAGGCTCGGTTCGGGTCGCACGGACTTTATTATTTTAAATAAACAATTCACTTTTGCCTGGGCTCAGGTCTCACGCTGCACTGCAGCGACGGAGAAAGCCTGGCACATTACCCGGCCGGGCCGGCCCCCTCCCTTCCTTTTCTGTGTGTCACAGAGCAGAGACACACACACACACATTGCGCCCGCCCCCCTCCCCGCCCTAGGACTCGCGCTCCCGACGGTGTTGGCGCGCGGTGCGTGCATCTCTGAGTTGTAGAATGGAGCAACAGAGACAGCCAAAGAAGAGGAAAGGTGGAGCAGAGAGAGAGAGGATAAAAAAGAGAAAAGCTCTGGCCGCGGATGCTGCTAAGTGCTATAAATTAATGTTTGTTCGTAATGGAGCAGGTAAGAGAAACACTTGTGTTGAAAAAATTGAACTCTGGCACAGTTTATCAGCACAGCTTAATATCCACATGCTAGCTTCACTTTGAGGGACCTAAGTGGGCCAAAACTGACTTAATATAACAAATGTTTTTAAGTTTGCACCACAGAAGAAAGATTTATGTAGGTATTCAGTTAGACGTGTGCAAACAACATGCATTCAAAGTGCGCTCAATTGAACTCAGTCTTGGTGGTTTGCGTTAATCAGGTGGTGGTGGCCTGGGATGGTATCAAAATTCCCGGCCTGGATTATTGTCCCAGTCCGCCCCTGACACATGTAATGACTTCCATGTTGTTGTGGCCTCAGAGTGCTGAATTTTGATGTTTTTGATTTTGATGTTCCAACATTAATCATCAGTGAAATGTGGAGATAATTCACACCTGATGTGTATCGCAGTGACTTCAATATCTTCGTTTCTCCTTCAGTGCCCCACTGCTTCAACAACTCCACTTCCTCCTTCACTGCGGTGGGGTTGAGCCCAATTTGACTAAAATAAAAGAAGAGGACAAACATCCAGTTGGATTCAATTGTTTTTCAGATCCTGCTGCCTGTTTCTATCAGACACCAGCTGATGTATCAGAAGATCTGCTGTAATCAGTCAAGAAGAGGACAAGAAGATATTTGGACACTCTGATGGAAAATGATGAAATGAAACGAAACCCACTTTGTCGTTTCCTCAACAACCTTGCAGAGGATCTGTTTGTCTGCGTTCTGAATCAAGGGGAACAGCTTGGCTCTGGTGTTGGAGTGTGCAGCTGAATCCTCATCTGTCATTTTGTTTCCAGGACTTAGAGCATCATGATGGGCACCTTCTCTCTCCAGGTGAGTGGAAAAGATCGGACCAAGAATCTTTGCCAACGGGTCTCTATTTTCTGACCAACACAAGATAAAAGTTTTAGTGATTTAAAATGAGTGATTTTTAAACTAACAACACCACTGGTCCTGTGTTTGTTTTCTTCACATTTACTTTTTTTAATGGTAACCATTCTACGTCCATTAAACACATTTCAACAAATTTATTCTGTACTTGTGTCTGAAATGCTGTGCATGTTATTAGCGAGAAACTAAAATTAAGCTCAATCTGTAAAGAATCGTCATCGGCAGCATGATAGATTAGTTTGCAGAAAACAACAAAGAGAGAAAAAAAACAATCAGTGGGTTATGAAGCTGGCAGTACAGAGATCAAATGAGATTTAATTCTGATCACAATTACCTTCTATACATGTTCGAAGCTCTTGAATGTTCTTATCACCTGCCAGATGAAGTAGCTGAGCGAGCTGGCTGAAGCTGCGTACAGAAACATCTGGAGGAGAGAGCTGCAACAACGGCTGTGCTTCACTGTCGTTTTCATACGAGTGCACAGCAGAGTCTCTAAGTGTCAAAAAATGGATTATCATTTGTTTTGTATTACACTACTTCAAGGGCGTCAGAAGCATCTGTAATGTGGGGGGGACACAACGATGTGTGTAGGTGAAAGCGCGTGCGCGTGTGTGCGCGCGTGCGCGTGCGCAAAAGTAATGTGCACTAATGTACAAAAAAAAAGGAACATTTCACCTAGATTTGCTTTACTTCCACACATTTAAAGCATATTTCTCACCAAGTTTGTGTAAATTCAGCTGTGGGTTTTAGAGACATTTTAACTTTAATACACTTTAATACAGAGCGTCAGATCGGCACTATTTGTCTTTATAGAGAAATAAAAAACATCACCACTAGACATTTTTACTTGTGTTCAACACTCATCTAAATGATGTTTCTCATGAAGCTTGAGGACAATAAGGTGTGGGGTTTTAAAGACATTTCAACTTTAATGCACCTGAACACACTGTGTCTCTTACACCTGCAGCGTCTTACAGCATCACACTTACTGCTAAGATAACATGCTATAGACGTAGCGCTGCACTCAAGCATCCTCCTAACATGAATATATGTTGATGATCAACGCCCTGGTCAACAACTGCCCACACTAAGCTGCTAAACTGGCGAGTGAGCAATACAGAGGTGTCTCCATCTCCTGCACCTGTGCGCATTTTCTACCAAAGCAGGTGACTCAGCAGCGGCTGCCTGCACAGTTTCTGCTCTGTGGATAGAGGTGGTGGTAACCAGGAAAACCTGGAGTGCAGTTTTATTAGATTGAGTATTCTCCTATTAATCAAGTGGAATGGATTCGTTCACGAAGAAAGAGAAACTGCGCCGCCTGAACTAATGTTTCATAGTAAAAGTGGGGGGGTCCAAATGAACCTTTTTTTAATGTGGGAGGGACTTGTCCCCTTCACATATAATGGTTGCGACGCCTATGCACTACTTCCATTTTATTTACCTGATTATTTCTTTCTGTGTCACAGGAAGCTGGTGCTCATATCCAGCTATCACTGTGTGAAAGGCAGGGGACACCCTGGATAGGTCTCACCTCCATCACAGGGACACATAGAGACAAACGAAACAACTATTCACTCTATCTCTCACCTCGGGACAATTTAAAGTTACCAATCATTCTAACGTGCATGTTTTTAGTCTGTGGTAGGAAACTGATATTCTGAGAAAGTACTGACATAAACAGGGAGAACTTGTAAATTCTACATAGAAAGGACAAGAGACAAATGTGACCTTGCTGTGAGGTGACACTGCACCATCCCCCAGAATAGATCATTTAGTGCATTATTTGGTGCCCTATGCTTCATAGCAATGAAAATAAACAAACAAAAAAAGTAAGAAATCAAAAAGAATGCTCTCTTTGCCACACTAAAATTAAAAAACTAAATATCTACAGCTTCCTACATAAAGCACAATCAAAGCAACTACCTTGATGCAGCTTTTCACAGTCTGGGTTGCTTGGACACATTGATACTGAGGACCAAGGCACCAAGCACCTGGTTGCATATCATTATCAGACAAACCTGGTGTCATATCCTGTGATGAATTCAGATCCCTTCAAAGTGGTGTTCCATTGAAGTGGCTCCTCAAACACAATCTCTGCCTCCTCTGGGAATTTGGAGCTGAATTGCTCAACAAAGCCCAGAATTTCTCTCAACAAGGACTCATTTACTGATGTGGACACAAGTTTGGCAGAGCCAGAGGTGGAGGTGGTCCACTGAGCTGCCCTGGTGAGTGTTTGCCCCATAGTTCCTCCTGGGATTTTCTAAAACTGACGAGAACAAGAAATCTTTAACAAACGTGTTGTTTCAGTTCTTCTTCAGTGTAGAAAGTGCACAGATACAACTGTTTGGCATTAAAATTGTTGGTACATTTTTTTGACTGGACATCTACTCTAACTTATACAACTTTAAATGATGTAATCAACCAAGTAAATATTTAGTAAGTTACTTATTTTACTTTTATACCTTTTGTATTCCTAGATAATATTAACTGAACGTGACTTTTGTAACTATTTATTTTTCAAAATTTTGAACTTGATAATGTTACTAACAAGCACACACACAAACTATTTGAAGATATATACAGCCTGTTGCAGATGTTGGACTATAGTCAAATCACAGAATGTGATGGGAGTCTGTGTTTATTACACTTCCAATAATATATAGAATAACAACTTCTTTGAAAAGACAGATCAGAAAAAATGAAAAGGCTAAAATACAGCATCAGTTTCTAAAATCAGCATAATTACTACTACCAGATTGCATAAATTACAGTAAACACGTATTTGTTTGTTTTTTTGTTTTCCTGGCAATCTACTAGAGTTTATGGTCAAACAATTCAACATTTCATTGAAAATATTGAGTAATGACTAATTCATATAGTTTTATTCGGTAATGTACTTAAAAAGTTATTTAGGTTAAACAAACTTTTAATTTCAATTTAGTTTTTAGTAATTACGTTTTTAAGCATGTTGCAACAGTACTGTTATACAAAAGAAATTATATTATATAGATTTATATAGATTATAGATTTGAAGCTCTCGACCTTGACCTCTCTAAGTGGCTTTAAGAACCTGTTGGACTCTTGGCAGGGTCCAACGCAGACATGTTCCTGTTTTTAGTTTTCTACATTCGCCTTAGAATCTAGAAGTTTTTTTGTTACCTTTTTCTTTTAGCCATCCTAATTGTAAAAAAAAAACAAAAAAAAACTGCAGTATGACTTTTTATAATTGTTTATTGTTGTCGCTGTTGTCCATTGTTGTCATCTTTCTTTGTTGAAATTAGGTCTCTTTTGTAAATGAGTCCTCGAGTGTCAATGGGATTACCTGTCTAAATAAAGGTTGAATGAATATGTTGTGGTTTAAATTAGCGACCTCGTGTAAGAACGCCTACCACGTCAGGATGTATGAAAACGCGCATGCGCGACGTATGATTAAATCTGAATATTTTTGTGCATACGCACTTTTCGAACTTTTTTGTTGGCCAATATTTAATATGAATGCTGCGCATACATTTCAGCATAACCTTCCATACACGAGGCCCCTGGTCGCTGCTGTGCTGTAATATTTCTGGAAGAAAACCGAGAAGCTCGGTTTCCTGCGACCGTTCAACACAGGCAGAAGCTAACGCCTCGTTAGCCACACTAAAAACAAAAATAATAATCTTAAAAGTTACCCTAAAATCAACTGGGTCGCTGAAAACGTTAAAATCTACTTTGATACGATGAATGTAGGAACCAAATAAATTTTAGGAGCAACCTTACCGTGTGCCAGCCAGTCTCATTTAGCTACTCAACTTTTATCGATGGGTTGCGATCAATGGTATCTATGGAAACAAGGCCACGAGCACTGTGGCACGCCCCCTTCCAGTTGCTATGATACGGTCAACAACAACGGCAAGCGAAATGTGTCAAATTTTACCAAATTAATTCTTAAAATCGGAAAAACTAGAAATAATAAAAGTACAGAAGTTGATTTTTACAGAAACTGATATGTACACAAGTATTGTGTTTCTCTATTATTTATTTCATTTCTTCTTTTTCATCCTATCTAAAAATTAATAAATAAACACCAAAGATCATGCTAATATATCCAGGCAGAAATCCAATGATGTTCAGTCAGGTCATCTGGATGGTTTCTTTTGTTGATGAGACATTTTGTCATTCATCTGAAGGACTTCTTCAATCTGAGGACACCAAACCAAACTGAATCCCACAAACAGGACACTCCCAGAGTTGAAAAAAAAAACCAGTTTGCTGGTGATAAGATGGCCTCTGCCTCACCCCCGTCAACTCCTCTAAGGCAGCCATGCGAAAGTGGTTCAAACACCAAAGTTCTTGCTCATTAATTCAGGTAGAAATTCTATAATGTTCTATCAGGTTATCTGGACTCTTTCTTTTGTTGCTGAGATGTTTTATCTTTCATTCAAAGGACTTTTTAAATCTGAGGAGCAATCAAAACAAACTGATTCCCACCAACAGCATAGTCCATAGTGGAAAAAAAAACTGTTTGCTGGCACTAAGAGGGCTCGCCCTCTCCCCAACTCCTCTGAGACAGTCATGACAAAGTGGTTCAAAACACCAAAGTTCATGCTCAATAACCCAGGTAAAAGCTACAGTGTAGCAACAGCTACAGTGACAGGTCTGAATGACTATTGGCCAGTAGCCCACACCCCGATAGTCTCTAAATCAGGGGTCACCAACCTTTTTGAGACTGAGAGCTACTTTAGTCACTAAAGTTTAGTGGGACCGAGAGACACGAAAGGCTACTTGTTAGAGCCAAACAAATTTGCACGGCTCACCTTTAATTATAGTATTAATTATAGTATCACATTCACTTCCGGCAAGCTGATGGATGGCAGCTCCCTCCAGCTTCTCTGTAGTCTTTTATCATCAAACTGACCCATTTTTTCGAACCGGACTAAAGTTGGTCCCCCTTCCAACCGAATGCGGTGTTCAGTGACTCAGAGAGCCGGACGGGACCGTCCAAAAATATATTTTGGTCCAGGACAGGCCGCTCCCACCCCACTGGTCACTCTGAGCGCACCCTGCCGGCCAGGTGACCCCTCGAGCTGGGGAGTTGCCGCACGAAGGTCCGGTGCTTTTTCTCTCTCTCTCTCTGGACCTCAACGAACTCTCATCTGGACCTTTGTGGTTCTACCTGGTTCCGACAAAAATCGCCGGGTGGTATTTCGCTGGTTTTCTGCTGGACCGGCCCTCGTGGTGTCTTCATAGGTGTGGGGGAAGTGTACCTGTGACCCTCGAACTGGATCAGAACCAAACTGAGGTGGCTGTGGGGACTTGGACTTCATCTTCAACAGAGCCGGTCTCAGCTTCAGTGAGCAGCCCGTTACTTTTAACGAAGGACTGTCCACCTACTTGGAATCGCTGTTTTCGCCTGGAGGAGATGCTCTGGTGCTTTGAAGCGCCGCCGGACCGGGCTGCCGGACAGGAGCAGAACCGGGCCAGGGACATCTTCAGCCTCTTCGTCTCTTGTGCTGTGGAGTGCCGGAGCCGGACTGGAGCAGAACCGGACCGGACCAGTGTCGACTTCAGCCTCTCCGGTCAGTCTCGTTTTTCACTGGGGATGCCTCTCGTGTTGTCGGGTGCCGAGGTGACGTGCAGAGAAGCGGAGAAGTAGCGTGAAGGAGCAGGGCTGCGTGGTGCTCGAGAGAAGTTCGGAGTTTGCATCGGAGTTGCTACAGGCCTCCATCCAAACTCACCTGGATAATAATTAATTTTATTGCGGATCACGCTGTTGTCCCCTGTTGACCTGAAACAAGCTAGGATCATGCCTTTCACTTCAGGAGGATTTTCTGGCAGCTCACTCTGTTATTTGCTGCGAATTATCTGTTTCTGTTTCGGCCTGCTGATTCTGGACCCAGCTTCTGTTTCCCATGGGAGCATCCATCCATCTCCCCTGGGGGGCCGGAGCCCCCCTCAGCCCAACTCAAACTGCAGTTGGGCCACCTCGTCGGGTTTGTTTGCCCATTTGAACTGTGACATTTTATGGTCTGAAACTTTTCTGCATCATTCATATCACTGTCACTATTTTCAGTTCTCAGATTATCTGAAGTCACTGAATCTTGTTAATACACCTAAATCTGCCCATCACTGCAACTTTCACTGTTTTTGGGTTCTGAATGATCACGTCTTCATTAATGTTTCTCGTGATTTGATTATGGGGGCTAATTGTCACACTGTTAACTCCTGTGTAGTGAACTTAATCTGGTGTCACGACTAAGCCTAAGGTCAAAACCCTTGACCTTAAGAACCTTGTGGGACAGAAACTGTCATTTCATTGATTTGAATCCAGAGATACAGGTTCACCCATCCTGAGACTCTCTTCTTGATAATCAAGTGAAAGAACACTCTCTTTTTTATTATCATTACTATTTTACAGATGTTGATAATCAAAGTGTCTTAGTTCAAACCATTTTAGATGTTGCAGTGAACTAATCAATTTTATTAACTGTGTAATGATTTTTAATTCTCATGCAAAGTTAGAACTCATGTTAAAGCTGTTACAGAGTAATTATGCATTTTCTGATTTCTGTCTGTGAATGAGCAAAGTGTGCGTTCCAGGGTCAGGAGTCGAAGCAGACATGCGTTAGAACAACTGTCCTGTTTATATCCTCTCAGACGTCAACAGGGGGTTTTGGCACCTGTGTCTTAAACTCGCCAAAACAAAACTCTCTCTGTCTGTGAGAACATTTCTGATCTTTCCATAACAATTCTTGCTGCATTCTAACCTTTTACGTCACAAAACACACCCCGTCTGGTCGGTTCTGGCCAATGGGAATACTCCCAGATGAACCGGGAAAACAGCTCTTTAAAATGTCGGTACTTCCTGGTCTAACCAGTTCTGTGAGGGTTCTGTGAGAGTTCTACTCGGTTCGGTGGAGTTCAGTTCTGCTCAGTTCTGTGCGGAGAAGCCCAGTTCTGGGAGCCGGGAAGATCCTGACATGACAACAGAGCTCTTCCGAGTTTCATGGGATTATAACATTTTCCACTGAGGTGAGTTGTGAGGGACAAAAAAGCTGCTACTCCGGACGAGTAACAGCATCCTACGGAGACGCTGAAGGGTGCGTTAAACGGAATCTCGCCTGAGACATCTCCAGGTAAAAGAGTCGATTTCACCACCTAAGTGTACTGTAAGGAGAAGCTGAAGAAAGCCCGGAGAGTGCCGTTCTGTTCACACTCCCTCAAACCCCATCTTTTACTCTTCTTTAAACTTCTTTCCCATCTTTAAACTCCTCTCTCAAGTAGAAATTCTTCCAGATATTTAGAAATGTCTGTGTAAAGTGCTCATCCACCGCCGTGTGGGTAAAAGATCATAGTTGTACAGTTTTCATAAATGTCTGTGGTGAAGCAACGGAAAAATCATGGCCGTATGATTTTTCCTGATTGATTGCTTATGTTGTTATTTTCATAATTTGCCAAATTAATGTAAATGTTTGATGTTAAACTTTGATTCTGTAAATAAATGACCGCATTCATTTTGATGGGTCAAATATAAATGACGTTTCACGTTTGCATTTCATTAAATTCAATGCACGTTTTATTCAGTTCAGAAAAATGAGGAATCCGTGTTAATTGATGAATATATCTGAGCATCTGTTCATCTACA